TCATGCATTCCACCCATTCGGGTATAACCTGTACATCACCTGGAAAATGTTCTTGAGGATCATGGTAGAAGTACGGTCCACATCGGCAGCCATCTGATCAAAATAAAGAGCATTCCTTGTCTTCCATAAATGGAAAACCGAGGCCATGATAGCTAGAGCACCAATCTTGGATCGAGGCCGGGTTCCTCGAGAATCCCTATGATGCCATTTTATTGCTCCTTTGATAGAGGCCGTATTCCTTGCAATACCAACACCATCTCTTACACGGTCCCAAACTTGTTTAGAGAACGGGCACATGAAGAAAAGGTGGTTGATATCTTCCAGTGTAGCACCACAAAACGAGCAATGTTTGTCAATCTCCATGAAGATTACATTGCTTTTCGTGAGTAGCCTTCCATGTAAGCAAAGCCACGTACAAAAAGCAAATTTAGGAGGGACAAAGCTCTTCCAAATAAACCTCATGGCAAACTTTTTTGGGCTTTGTGGACGAATTGCTTCATACACGGCCGAAGTATTAATGCCATTCGGTCCATTCCAAGAGGCCAGTTTATTGATACAGTCACTAGTGGTTCCAAATCTGCTTACGAGAAGGTCCCTAACCTTCGCCAAACTACGCATGAGGGCGGACTCGTTTCTTCCCGGATTCCACGTCCAGAAGTCCACATTCCGTAAATAAAAGTCATGGACCCAACGAATCCATAACGTTTCTTTCCGGGTGTGGATATTCCAGAGTGTTTTTGTCATAAACGCATTGTTCCAATGTTTCAAATTTCGCAAGCCAAGTCCGCCCTCATCTTTTGGCCTGCAGATAACATCCCATGATACAAGAGCCCTTTTTCCACCCCATAGGAATTTTCGGCATATAGAAATTATGCTTTCAATAACTGTGGGTGGTAGAGAAAACTCTTGCATCCAGTATGCTACCACACCTTGGATCACCTTGGCTATCAGTTCAAGCTTACCTGCATAAGATAAAGAAAATCCCTTCCAGGCAGATATATACTTGTTAATGGAATCAAAAAGAGGGGTGTAGCAAGATACCTTTAGCTTTTGAGCATCTAAAGGAACCCCAAGGTAACGAACAGGCAAGGTGCCATTAGGGATGCGTGTGAAGCTAAGGTCATCACGCACCCCAGCACAAAACAGTTTCGATTTCGTAGCACTAATCGCTAGCCCTGAGGTCCCTTCGAGCTCATTCAACGCATTCATCATTATTCCCACCGAGCTTACATCTCCCCTGCAAAAAGCATCAAGTCATCCGCAAAAGCCAAATGGCTTATGCGGAGGTTAGAACATCTTGGGTGGAACTTGAACATCGGGCTCGCAGTCTTGGCCTTCAACATTCTTGTGAAGTATTCCATGCATAACGTGAACAACATGGGGACATGGGGTCCCCTTGCCTTAATCCCCGCCTTCCATCAAACTTTCCATGCAAAGTACCATTAATGCTCACCGAGAAAGATGCTGTGCTTACACACTCCATGATCCATTCAGTGAAGATACTCGGAAACCCGAACCCATGCAGAACCTCCTTCAAGAAATCCCAGCTAACAGTGTCATAAGCCTTTCGGATATCCACCATTATCATGCACCTCGGGGATATTCTTTTTCTTGAATATCCCCTTATAAGTTCCTGAGCAAGCATAACATTATCAGACACCGATCTCCCACCTACAAAAGCCCCTTGGGCTTGGTCCACAATGTCCGGCAGTACTCGTCCCATGCGTGCTGCAATTATCTTCGTTATTATCTTGTAAAAAACATTGCAGCACGCGATTGGTCTAAAATCCTCGACCCTTTGATCGTGCATCTTCTTGGGGATTAAGGCAATAACGGTATGATTCCATTGCTTCAACAGTTGCCCATTTCTGAAAAATTCCATCACTGCCGCTATGACCAGTGAACCAATCCGGTTCCAATTAACTTTGAAGAAAGCGGCAGTGTACCCGTCGGGCCCCGGAGCTTTGTCATTACCCATAGAGAATAAAGCTTCCTTTATTTCTTCTTTAGAGATTGGGGCCACAAGGTTCAAAGCTTGATCGGCAGAGACATTGGAGCCATGGCCAAAATATGTATTGTCCGTTCCATTCCTTTCTCTTGGGGTGCCAAATAAATCAGAGAAAAATTTTACAAACAAGCTGCCACTTGATTGAGTGAAGTAGTTAGGTTCCCATCTTGATCAAGGATTGCAGCTAGAGTTGACGCTGCATTTCTTTTATTTATGAGGCTATGAAAATAGTGTGATCCCTTATCTGGCCTCAACCAAGTGGACTGTATTCAATTTTTGCGCAAAGAACCGTCTTTCAGCCTCCATCAAGAACAAGGCCCTCTTCCGAAGATCATTAACATAAGCCCTCTCTTGTTCATTCGCGTTTAGGACATCCAACTCATCTTGCGCAACAGAGTAGGCTTCTTTCGCGACTCGGGTTCTCTCCGAGATGTGGCTGAACGCATTTCTGTTAAGAGTGCGAAGAGGTCCTTTAAGAGACTTAAGTTTCTTGGCCAGAATATACTGCTTCGATCCCTCCACATGCTCTCTCCACACATTTTCAAGAGTAACTTTGAAGTCCTGGTGTGTGAGCCACATGTTTAAAAATTTGAATGGCCTTTTTCCGTCACTTATAGCAATGGACGTAGTTATAACTACGGGACAGTGATCTGAATTGCATGCCAACAACTTGAAGTCTGCCATGCATGTTAACCCGTTGGCTCCCCATCTATCATTGATCAGTACCCGATCCAGCTTGGCTTCCATATACCTATTTCTCCACGTAAAAAATTTTCCAGTAGAAGGGCAGTCCGTTAGATCCATGTTCGCACAGCAATTCTCCAAATCCTGAAGCTCATATCTAGTTGGTTCGTTTCCTCCCCTTCTTTCAGATGGTGATAACACTGTATTAAAGTCACCTGAGATTACCCATGGTTCAACAATCAATAGTCCAAGTGCTTCAATCTTCTCCCATAATTGCCTTCTCGCAACTACAGAAAAGAGGCCATAGACAAAAGTACAAAGAATCTTCTTCTGAGAAATCTTGCATAGAATGAGACAGTGGACATGTTGAGGTCCAGTCTCAAGGATTGAGCAGTCTACTAGCGCTGGGTTCCATGTAACAAGAATCCTTCCACCAACAGTATCATGGAAGTTGGTTGCAAGCTTCCATCCATTCTTTCGGTTTTTAACGAACAAGTCAGCTTTCTCAATCGACAATTTAGTTTCCAGAAGTGCAATAACAGATAGTTTATTGTTCCAAACGAAGTCCCAGACTTCTTTTTGTTTGAGGGGTTGATTCAAACCCCTCACATTCCAAGTTCCGATCAACATTGAGCAACGGAGGTGGGTGCTCGCCGACCACCGCCGCCAGCCACTTTGTTAATCCCAAGTGGCAGGGATGTCCGAGATGTTTTCTTTTGCTTCTTAGATTGCGGGGATCGTCTTCTTGCCCCAGCCACCACACGAGAGGGCTCTATGGGTAAGGTGACAACATTTTCTTCTTCATTTTCTGCCTGTGGATCCGGATCAACTTCAGAGACAGTCTCAAGGTTGCATGGAGGGTTCAAGGCAGCTTCTGCCGCCTTCCTAGCCTTTCGGGCCTTTCTTCTAGCAGATTTTGACAAAGCAGCTTCTTCTTTGTCGTTACCGGCCTCCTCTTCAATTTCAGGAGGTGGTGGAGGGGATTGCACCTCAACTTGTGGAATTTCTGCGTCAGATGTCTCATTTGCGGCCTCATCTCCAATCTCAAGAGGTGGTGGAGGAGATTGCACCTCGACTTGTGGAGTTCCAAAAGGTTGTTGCAAAGGTGTAGCTACAATATCTTGCACTCCTGTACCATCTTCGACTACCACCAGTGCTGCCTCATCAGTTCTCTTTTCTGCCACATCCTCTTCGTCACCCACAACAGCCTCACACACATCCGTAGCTACAAGAGCTTGAGTCTCGGTATCACCATTCTCATTCCCATGCCCAGCATCCACATTTCTTTCCCTTAGATTACATTCAACACGAGTCAAGGGGCATTTTTCTGTTATGTGTCGGCCTCCCCCACACCGAGTGCAAAAGGGCACCCCAGTTCTGATAAAAAATATTCTGTTCAAAGCGTTGATCCGTCAGGCACCTCAATGGCGATGTGTTCCAGAGGCTCTAAGGAGCAGTCAACATCCACGAGCACCCTAGCAAAGCCTATTTTCCTCCCATCCAAAGTAGATTGATCCATGTACAGAGGTTTACCAATGCAGCAGCGATTTTGCTCAAAGCCCCAGTGTTCCAACAAGGTTTCGGCAGTGAGGGGAGTCTAACCCACATTGGAAGGAACCGGTAATCTTCATACGCCTCAGAGAACTCTTTTGGTGGTGGTTCAAGGAACATACGTTTTCCATACACAGCAAAAGGACCCTTCTTCAACACAACATCACGGTCCTCTTCAGTCTTAAACCAAAACATTACATGGCCATTATAGTGTTCATCCAAATTATACCAAACTCCCCATGTTTTGGCTAATTCATCATTATTCTCATGCCCGGGAATTTTCCAGCAAAACGCCCCATCAAAGGGAAGTTTCTATCCTTTGGCGGTTTCAATCCAGTCCTCAAGGTCCAGCTTCGCACGCCCTCTTTCGGCCATGGAACCATGCAGAAGGCATTCATCCCCCTCCAGTTCTCTATGGTTGTGGAATGGATCTTTTTGAGGTGGATTTCTGCCTTTCCCAGAATCTCTATTGTTCCTGGTCAGGTTTGATAAGTTTACAGTGCCTTTCTTCAACCCAAACTCTCTTCCCCGGTGTCTCTTCTCCACCCATTGCCCTGTCGGCTATTTTCTTCATCAAGAGTAAGTATCGACAGAGCCCAGAGATCTTGAGCCTGAGGGATCCACTGCATTGGAGGGTTCGGGTTGGGTAGTGGAAACAACGCTCGTGTTTGCCATAGCTTTGACAAACCGGTTCCTGTTAGGATGAAGGACCGGTGCCCACAGGCGGCTTATCCGGTTAAGAAGAAGCCGGTGCTCA